GAAAAAAGGGGACCTTTTAATGAACAAGTGAACATATTTTTGCGCAGCAGTGATGGGAAACCAGCATGGTCACAATTTGGTTGTGAATTTCGGAGAACAGAACCCCGGAACATCCAGAAAACAGCTGGTTCTTCTTTGGGGGACAACCTTTAGGTTCGGGCAACAGATGTTGCCAGGAGCTGAGCTGAGGAATGAGACGTTTAGAGCCACAGGTTAAGTCTCAATATGGCTCATTCAGAGATAACCCAACCAGACCCAGGCAAAGAGCAAGGTGCATCAAGTGAACTTAGATCAGGCATGCCCAAAGTCGGTCCTGGAGGGCGTCTGTCCTGCAGGTTTAGAGGTTTTCTGCTCAGCGCAGCTGATTTTCATTGATAGCTGATTAACAGGCTGAACTGCAAACATCAGAATCATCTGTGCAAAAGCAGATAAACATCAATTAACTTTAAAAAAAAACCTGCAGGACAGGGGGGACCAACTTTGGGCGTGCCTGACTTTGGTTGTTTCTGGGCATCGGAACCTGTCTGGCCTGACCCCTAGTGGCCTCGTGGAGGCACTGCGGGGCTGTCAGAAAAAGCTTTGGTTTATAGACTTTATAAGACATTTTTATTCGTATGATTTGCCTCTGAAAACACATCATAATGAAACCGACATCAAGCAAACAGATAAGTGGAAACAAAAATGAGTATAATTGAGTCATGAATGTATCCATTCAGTGATCACACCAACTAAACTCTGCTTCACTCACAGCCAGACCGTCCACACAGAGAGAAAGACGCATTAAACACGTTCATTACATCATTAGTTACAGTGTCATTATCAGGACATCACACTTTTATATTCCATATTCAAGTCCTATCAATTATTATCAAAAGCACAGTAATAGGCATGTTTTAGGTAGCACTAAGCCTAACTTATTATACATCTGATTAAAGTCATTAGATTTCCTTTTTAAGCTTTGCTTATTTACTCAATTTAACATTGAAATACTTAATACTGTAATGTGACTCATAACGCGTTAGTCTGTGAGTAATGAATATTGATTGTAAAAATAAATATATTTCTTTGATTTCTTTGCATTTATCTTTATGTATTTTATTGCATTTTACAGATATTTCTTTACATACATTTATCTAATTAAGTTGCATATTGTTCGCTACAGTCAACGATCACTTGTTTCTATGGTCACTTCTAAACAGGTTTCTGACCAGTCTGAACCCACATGGATATTTATAAATAGATATTTAAAAACTCTATAAAAGATAATACTAATTAAAGCAATCGCCTTACTGAGGATAGAGGATATCAGCCTCCAATAGCAAAGTCAGTTATCAGATATGTGAAGCTTTTCACAGTAAAGGTTTTTATTATGTTCAAAAATATGCAAATGTGACCATTTAGTGAAGGCCTTTGTGCGAATAAAGATTACAAAGTTTTTATCTGTGTTAAATTTAGCCATAAAGCTACAGTGGTCCTACAGTGTTGCAGTGTTGTCTGCTGACGGTCTGGAGCCGCCATGCTTCACCTCAGCACCAACAGGCTGACCGACACAGGGACATCATGTTCTTCATCCTCTACATAATGAACTCTTTATATGGGAGCAGCTTTAATAGACATTTACAACAGGATATTTCTCACATCTTAACTACTTTGTATAAACAAGTTGATTTATTAATGATGTTATTAGACCGCCTCTCTGGACTGCTGCTGCATAACCTGACAGGTTGATCTACAAGCAGTTATTTTCCATCGTCTGCCTGTTTTCCTGATTTTTATATATTTATTTTTTTGCCATGCTGTCTGCTGTAACCTGTGATCGCTCTCAGAAATCTCTGCTGATTCTCCCTAAACAAGTGAAGGAAATAGAAACGCAGCCCAGTTGGTTGATCTGCAGAGCCCATTGTTCTCTGTGCCAGGGGCTTCCTGTCTTTAGGCCACATCACAGCGGCTGCCATCGTTTTAAGCGATTCGCACATTTTAAGCCCTCAGGATTGAACATCCTTACATTTTGCATCTTCTTATATTATCACATTCCAATCAATACTCTACAGAGACTAACAGTGTAGTGAAAAAACTGCCCCTTACAGATTTCATGTTCTTTTTTTAATCATTTTTTGCCCTAGGGTTAACATGGCACCATTTTTAAAAGTATTTCCTTTTAACATAAGAACTACTTGTATCCTCCCCAGACAAGATCTCTGCTATTAAAGGAGGCACTTGTTGTGATAAATCAGCTGCATCTGTGTGGAGGAGAAACGATCCTGTTTAAAAACTGTTTTAATTTACACACTTAAGGGGTTTTAATCACAAAAGGCCCACCTGGGATTATTCCTGAGAATCTTTAAATCTTCTACTTTGATTAGGCCACTTAAAATCCTTAACGTTTGTACTTTTTGAGTCCTTCAGAGATGGATTTGCTTCCATGCTCATTAGATTATTGTTCCTCCCAGAGGCCAGATTTCATGCAGTTACTGCAGGTTACTCTGGTCCTTCAGACAACCTGCAACCTTTGCTCTAACACCACCATGTTTGACTGTGGGTAAAACGTAGGAAATCCTGGAGCTAACATCTTGCAAACAAAGTTATATTTTGCTCCATTAGTCCATAGAATATTTCCTAAAAGGTTATTTGATGGTGATTTGTTTGGCGAACATGAGTCGATCTTTTATGTTGTGTTCAGTCAGCATTGCGTGTGCCTTTCTTTCTTACAGCTGAATCATAAACTCTCAACTCAGGTAAGAAAAGCCGTTAAAGTTGTTCCTGTAGTCATGCTACTTCAGCAGAACCACCATCCTTCACGTATTATTTTTTTTGTGTGGTTTTATTTTCTTTTTTTTTAATAATGGATAATGTCTGTCATCGTGGTTTCCTGTATTCCACAGCCCTCTAAAACAGTTTTGTAACTCAGTCCAGATTTATTACTTTCTGAGTTTATTTAATCTATACATACTACTTGTTGCCTCAAAAAGTTCATTCATGATTTATCACAGAGAAGCACAACTTATTTTTTTTTTTACATAGACCAAGGTTGTTTTTAATATTAAAAAAATACATTTTATATTGGCCTGGGTTATCTTTATCTGATATTAGAATGCAAGTGTGACAAAGAGGAACAAAAAAAAGAAGAAAAAAACAATTCGGTTAATGTGAGCGTTTCACTGCAATTAATTGAGACGGTTTCATCACCAGGCCAATAAATGCAAACTGTGATCTAAGGCTGAACATTCTGCATAACTGCTGATCAGAGGCGGATTTAGGAAATGTGGGGCCCTAAGCAGAGACAGGCAGGGGGCCCTCTGAA